GACAGAATCCCAGACTGGTTTGGGTGGGAAGGACCTTAAAGCTCCTTCAGTCCCACCCCTTGCCATCAGCAGGGACACCTGCCACTGTCCCAGGTTGCTCCAGCCTGGCCTTGGACACTGCCAGGGATGGGGCAGCCACAGCTTCTCCAAGCAATCTGTGCCAGGGCCTCCCCACCTCCCTCCTTCACAAGGATTCTTCAATCTGTGACTCAAACTTAAAGACATTATTAACACAACAGCAATGCTGTGCTCCCTAAGGACTGACAATCCCCCAGGCCTGTGCTGAAGGATTTCTCTCCATGACATACACACCATGGTTTTGTCTGGTTTTCCATTATTCAGCCCTTGTGGCTTTTACCACTTCCCTTGGGAGCCTCCAGCGAAGCCCAATCTCTGCATTGTTCCAAACGTTTCCTGATATTCAGCTGCTTCTTCCTTCTATTCATGCCCAGCAGAATTGTGCTCCTGCCTGGCTGTGCCCTCGATTGTTTGGGGTGCTCCCAGCCCTCTTAAACTGGGAGTTTTTGCTGTCAGAACACAGGATAAATTCCCAAATTTCTCTTGTCCTTGGGATTTGCTGAAATTTAACCTCCCTCTGTATTTCTGCCTAGGAACAGCAGCCAGCCCTGGGCATGTCCTCTGTTGGTGTCTTCTCCCTTCATTTCTGCCCTGCGGTAGCTCTTCCCACCAGTCTGGCGCTCCACATTTGCCAGGTTTTTGTGGGGTTTTTTGTTGTTTTTTTTTTTTGTTTTTTTTGTTGGTTTTTTTTTTTTTTTTTTTTTTTTTTTTTTTTTTTTTTTGTGAAAAAAACTCCTCATTTTCCTCTAGGAAAACAGCAGCACTTGCTGATGTCATGTTCCAGGTAGAGCCATCCTACAGCATCAGCCCAGGGGAGCTGTGGGGGATGAAATGTGGATACGGGACCTCCTGCTGTCACTGACAGCTTGGCTTGGGAGGGACCCCAAGGATCACCCAGCTCAACCCCTGTGCCACGGGCAGCACCACCTTCCAATCCACTGTCCCTGCCTAAAACCCTGGCTCCGCCATGTCTGGAATAGGAGCAGTCACCAGGATTCAGAAAAAAACCCAACAAACCAACTCCACTTCTCCCAGTTTTCATTAAAACCCCGCTCTGCAGGAGGGGAAGAACAAGGGAAGTGTTTTGGTGTCCCTTTGGGCACCATCAGGCAGGAGTGATGTCACAGCCTGGGAATCAGGCTCTGGCCAGCTGGAGCAGGCAGGCTCTGCTGGAAAACACCTGCTCCCTTTGCCAGGGATAAGATTTCGGAGTAGCTGGATCCTCCTGTCAAAACAACAGTGTCCATTCCCACAGGGATCTGTCCCAGCAGAGCTGGGGAAAAGGAGCAAACAAGCCCAGATCCCACAGAAAATACAGACATGGGGAGTTTCTGAACTCATTCTGCAGAAGAGAATAACCAGGAATTTCTTTCCTGGATGTGATTTCTGCAGGGAGACACCATGGGCTTGATGTCGTCGTGCTTGAAAATTGCTCCATGTTATGGGAAAGATGAAGAATGAGAGGGAAGTCTGCAAAATGAATCCCTTCTCCATCAACAAGAGGAATTAAAGGCTCTGAAACTACTTAGAGAGCCTTGGAAGAGCCAGATGAAATTCCTGCAGAACATGGAAAGCAAAGGAGCAATCAGTGCTGGAGACAGGGAGAGGACTCTGTCTGCAGGGATGACTTTCCTGGCTTATTTGGGATAAAATAAAAACAAAGGCTGAGGACAATATGGGAGGTTTGGAGGGATATTCAAGTCCAGCCCTTGGTGCCACCAGAGGCTTGGATTTACCTGACCCAGCAAACAGCACAAATTTTTATTTTACCTTTTCCCCAATTTCAGCAGCTCATGATCCTGCCTTTGCTTAAGTGCATTAAATACAGAAAGGTCTAAACATTTGGAGAAGAAATATCCTGGCATCTATTGGCAAAAAGTTCTGTTGGATAGGAGAGTAATGGAACGTTAAGTGCTGGTAAATAAACAAACCGAGATTTTTAAATGAGGCCTTTTTAAAATTGCAAGGGGACAGCTTCAAATGAGCACTTCCCTTTTGTTTTTCTTCTCTTCCATCTCTCTACAGCACTTAAAATCATTTAAAAATTCTTCTAAATGCTTATTAAAAAAAAACCCCAAAACTGAAAAGATGGTGCTTTGTGCTTCCATTTGATTCCAAAGAGATTTTTGGTTGCTGTGTTATAAAACTTTTCAAAAAAGGTTTCAAATGGAAGCCCTAACAAACCATGGAACATTAGGAATTCTGCAGCGTTAATGAGTTAGAGAATCACAGAATCTTGGAGTGGTTTGGGCTGGAGGGAGCTTAAATCTCACCCAGTCCCACCCGTGCCATGGGAAGGGATGCCTTCCACTATCCCAGGTTGCTCCAAGCCCTGTCCAACCTGGTTCTGTTCAGGAATTTCCTTTAAAATATTTTCCACCACCAACCTTGGTTTCTGTAAAGTGATGTTTTTTCTCTTTTCTCCCAGAAAAATGCCACTATTACTGACCTTTCCTTTAGTTTTCCCAGAAAAACCCTCAATGAAACACCCTGTTCAAACACAATTAAACCTGTTGGTTTAATCACCCCAATAATGATCCTTTGGGGTCACCCAGACACTTAACATTATTCTGCAGGAGTTGTGGTCCTAAAGCTGATGCTTTGAAAGCGTGAGACCTTTAGAAGCTGTGCCACAGGATGAGAGAACGAGACAGGATATCGTGAATGCATTGCAGACAGGCAAAAATTTCCAAATACAACAATTTGAGGCACAAAGTTGACATTTTGGGTTCATGGGGGTACTCCCTTCCCCAGGCAGAGTTCCTAAACCACTCAGATGCCACCAAGCCACCCCTGGATGTTCCATTTGTGCCACAGCAGCCTGTTCATGGATTCTGTGGATGCAAGGCTCCATGGAAGCCTCAGGATGAACCAAAGCCATGCAATATTTAAGGCCCAAATGACAAACGAGTTCTGCTGGGGCAGGAAAGAGCAGGAAGGGAAGGAGCAATAAAGGAACAAAATTAATGCCCTGGTCACGTACATTCCAGTGGCCTTCAAATGCCAGCTGGATTTGGGTTCTGCTCTTTGGCTCCTGGGAGGGCTCCTAAGTGCCTTGAAGTAGGAAAATTGGCACAAGAAAGCCTCAATTGACTGAAAATACTCAGCAGGTTTGACAGCAGAATAATTAAGTGTTAATCACCGGGAAATGCAATATGCTCCTTTTCCAGGCAAAATTATCCCATAAATTCAGGTGTTCCTGGCTGGCTGAAATCAATGGGAATTGCACATCCCAGTCCCAAAGCCACTCCAGCACTGACACAACCAGAGACAGCCCAGAAGTGTCATTTCCATGGGGTTTCTGTGCACGGGCAGCAAATTCTGCAAAGTGGGGGGGGGGTAAAACTTCTGCTTCCAAACATTGTGCCTTCTCAGCAGCCACACTTTACAATAAGATAACAGCCCAGTTTCCCTTGTTTTCCAAAATAACTCCAGATTATTGATGTCCTGCCAATGTTTTAACAAGGAAGGTTCACTAAATCCCACCCTGTCCCAAGTCTAGGACGAACACCATGGGATCAGGGTGGGGACACCAAACGGGTTGTGCAGAGATGAAGAGCCCAGGAGTCTGTTCCTTGTTTTTCCATTTTAAAGCAAACACTCTCCTGTAACTGGAACCAAGAAGAGAGGCAGCCTCCTCCTTTCTTCATGTTTGGCAAATAAACCTCTCTTAAGGGCACTGTGTTGGAAATGTTTGTACTTTATTTATTTAAATAAAAATACACAGAGTGGGTTGATAGCACAACATTTGGCCTATTTAGGAGGAGAGGGATAAAGACATCCATGGATTACTTTGAATGCCTTAGAGGGCAGCAGGAATATATTGCTCTGGGGATGTTTTCTTTCTCATCAATACCAAAAATGTTATGTTCCATAGGGAGAAAATTGGAATTTTCGTGTTTTTATGTGATCTCTACAGGTTAGAGAACACCATTATGGCTCAACCTCCAGATTGCACTTTTCCAGCTTCTAGTTCTGGCTGTAGCAGAAAAAATGCTCCTTATAAAAGAAAAAAAAATCCTAAACCAAGTGGTGACTGAATAACCTGCTCACTACAATTTCTGGATTTAATGGCAACCACGGAAGGATACAAAGCTGGAATCACTGCGGTGGTTTAGAAGGATGAACTTCACAAAGGGCATAAATCCCATTCCCAATCTCCTGTAACATTTTAAAGAGTTGTTCTCCCAGGCCTTCAAGTTCCCAACAGCTGAAGACTTTTTGTCAGGAGAGTTTAATTAAACCAATAACTCCGGAGAGAAAGCAAACATCCCAGCCAGGCACAGCTGCCTGGGTCCGTTCCAGCAGCAGCAAAGTTGGCACAATCACCACATTCTGCCTAAATTCTCTAAGAGGCACAGAAGTTTTGGGTTAAGATTTATGCTGCATTTAATCTTTAAGGGTCCATCACTCTCCTCTCTAATGGGTTTGCCCAGCCCGGGTAGTTTTGAAGCTCAGACTCAAGATGTTAATCTGAGAAAGGGTTTCACTGAGTTTATCCTAATCTGTGTCAGAGCACCCAGCTCCCGATATCCTTCTTTCCCTAAAAAAAGCTTTCGAATGCTGGTCAATGGGTGCTCTCACCCTCGCATGTGAATGGGTGTCAAAAGCAGCCGCATCCCCCCAGGGATCAGCATTTCCATGGAGCCGCCTGAAAATGCCCACCAGCCACGAAACTGGGTTTCTGTGTAAATTTACTGGTGATACTGGCGGGTTTTCCATCCTGAGCCTTCTGCCACCCCACACTCAGGGACAGCGATGCCTTTGGCCACGCCGCCACCATTCCCCCACATTTTCCTGCCTCTATTTTTACTAAACAAATAAAAATGGACCTTTGCCCATCGGGAGCAGGAAACATCTGCACCGCCACCCTTCTCGCTCCGAATCCACGCTCCTGTTTTTGCGTTTCGTTGAAGCCGGGGGCTCGCAGAGGCTGAGGCTGAGCAGCCCGGAGCTGCTGGGCTGTTACATGAGATATTCAGGAAGTTATTTGCATGGAGGGATAAAAGCCTGTGGCAGCAGCCGGCTGCGCTGCAGAGGCGACTCAGCCACGGTGGCCACCGGCCCAAGGAATTACATCCACCGCAGCTTCACAATGAGTTGTTTACTGGCCTTGGCTGCCTGTGGGAAGAGCCAAGGAGAGCGGAGGAAGAGGAGAGACAAACACAATGCGAGCGAGACGCGTTAGGGGGGAGGCTGGGCTTTAGCAGCAGCCCCGGCATTTCAGCCCTATGGAAGCAGAGAGGGCTGAAAAGGGAATAAAATGAACCATCCGCCGCCTTGCTGCTGCTGCCAGAAGAGCCTCGTCCCTACCTGAAGGGCTGATAGCGAAGGTAAGCGGGGGAAAGAAGCAGTTTTTGGGCAGATTCACCGCGCGGCTCTCGGGGGCAGCTCCCAGGCAGACGCAGCCACGCTTCTCTGAGTATTTGTAATTATGGCCCTGGAGAAGGAAAGCTGACCGGCTTTCCAGCAGGAGCCCAGCGATTCGGGGCAAGGCTCTGTTCCAGTCAGCTCCTCTGAGAAGATTTAAAACAAAACAACAACCCCCAGCCTAACAAACAGCGCCTTTCTAAATCTGCCCAGGGAAATGTTTGCTATTTTATTTCCACGGCCAACTTTGCTCTGCAGCTTCCTAATCTTACCCAGTGCTCTCCCCATTCCCCGCTCCCCCCTCCGCTCCTCACTTTTTTTTTTAATTGGAAGGCAAAACAATTACGGCCGCGGGAAGGAAAATCCGAGCTTTGAGGAGCTTTTCCCTGCTCGCTCCCATCGGGCACGCTCTCCCAGGCCGGGTCCCCCGGCTAATTGCTCAGGAAATCCGCGCTGCTCATTGTCGGGCTGTCCTTAAGCTGCTAATTCCGAACTGGGAGAGGCTCTGGAAGGGAATCCATGGATAGAGCCCCGCGAGAGGGACCCAGCGGAGAGCCGGGGCGGGGCGGGCTCCGGCGCTAATAACACATCCCTGCCCAATGGAAAGCGTTTCCTATGGAGACCCCCAGGAGTTCCCCCTGCCCACAGCCCCTGCCCAGACATTGGGCCCATTCTTGCGTCCCGTTTTGCCAAGACACGATGGCAGCAGCGCTCGGCAGCCCCGATCCCGCTCGGAACAAAGGCCGGGCAGCTGCCACCCGGCGCGGAGTTTGAGGATGAGCGGCTGAACTTGCACAAAGTGGGATTTCCGCGTGGGAATAACGCGGCTCGTGTGCCAGGGACACAAAGGACTGTCAGGGAGGGATCCCGAGGAAGCCCCGAGCCGTGGGAATGGTGGCGGTGCCGGTGAGTTCCCCCCGTTCCCGAGGCAGGAAAAGCGGCCGGATTCCACGGCAGCTCCGGGTGGGGGTCTGGCGGCTCGGGTGGATGCGGGGGATGAATCCCGCCGGGTTTCACTGGAGATCCGCGGTGTTTTCCCTGCGCTGGCGACTCCCCTTCCTCCTGCTCCAGCCCTGCCATGGCTGCTTAAAGGCAGAAAGATGAGCTCCGAGTTTTGGGAAAGTAATTCCCGTGCGAGTTACTCCTGCAGATTGCATGGAAATGGTTCTGACTCCCAGCGGAATTCTCCATTGCCATCGAGATTCTCGTTGTGGCACTGCAGGTGACAAGTTTAGGACTTTTCTGCCCTGTTGTTTGTTGCGTGTTTGTGAAAAGGATCCCTTGGTTACAGCTTCCTTTTGTACTTGAAGTCAGTGTCATAAAGACACTTTAGGCTTGTAATGGGTTGGATAGAAATGTGGCATTCACCTTCGTTTAATGGAGGGCTGGTTCCCACAAACTATATTAAAAAATTAGGAATTAAGTTATAAATATTATACTGAAAACTTTAAAAATTTGATTTTTCGCTTCAGCCTCCATTCATTACTAAAATCTACTCCCTTAAAGCTGCAAAATTCAATGAGAAAAATTCAAATACAGCTCTAAAAAAACCAGGGTGTCTGAAGTAAAATGAACGATGAACAACATCATGTAAAGATACTGCTGTTTGGAAGAGAGAGGATTTAACACAATATAAGCACATGGAAGAAAAATTTGCAGGAAGAGTTTGGAGGTTTTAATGACATTCCCAAATCATTGTTTGAGAGGAGACAATTGTGTGTGGTTTTTGTATTGCTGCCCTATAGGAACAGAACAGCCAAATCCAGAGGATGGGAAGTGCAAAGTTCACAGCTCGGTGATAAGGACATTCCCCCCTTGTAGTACTTTTCCATCTTCTTGTCCTTAGGAGCATTCCCTAAAAACAAAACAGGCAGGAAACCCTGGTACTTTGGGGGGTTCAAAGCCTCTGCATTTTAAAAGAAAGCCCTGAAACACAGAGGAGGCTGAACAAACATTTCACTGGAATCCTTTGAGGCTAAAAATAAGAATCCTCCTCAACTGATAAAAATCAATGTCTTCCAAATTCCAGGGTCAAGAGCTCAGCTCCACACAAACACAAGAAATGCCCCAGTCTGCACTCAGCTTCATTTAGGGCATTGCAATGAGGCACAAAACTGCACCTGGGCTTGCTGAGGAGGAGGGATGGAAACATTCCCTGGGCAGGGAGAGGATGCTCTCCCAGCTGGAAGATGGATCAGTCCTCCAGCAGTGACCTCATGGCTGGAGCACAGGAGCAGGAATTAAAGCAGTTTTATCCAGAGCTTGGGCCAGGTCCTGGGGACAGGGTGCCCTGTTGGAGGGGACGTGGCAAAGCAATTTGGGATTCTGTCATTGTGGCACTTGGAGCCATCTGGGTGGATGCCATGTCCATGATCCATCCGTGCCGCTGCCCCTCGCCCTGCTTACAGCACATTTGGGATTTGGGGCTCTGTTTCCCCATGGCTGGGCTGTGTGGCTGCAGAGTGCTCCAGGATCCCAAAGGAGCCGGCAGGGAGCCGTCCCCGCGGGCTGGGCAGGGTGGGGATGGCTCCTGGAGCACTCAGCCACCCTCAGTAGGTCTTTCCAGGTCAAGCCTGCGTGCAGAGCCTCACTCTGCTCCTCCACACGTTGCTCCTCCTCCGTAAATAAGGATCCGATTTAGTCCTGGGGAAGGGGAGCCACCACTTTGCACAGAAGGGAAATTCTCTCCCTGAAAAGAGGAGCTCTTTATTCCCAGAGCAGACAGTGGCTCTGCAAGGCTTCCTCCTGCACTAGCTCCCAGTGCAGCCCCATAAAGGGGGTAAAGATCCACCCTGCTCCGGAGCCAGACCAGCCTGAGCTGACCCTGGCTGCAGGAAAATTTGCTGGATTATTTGTAATGTGTTTGGTAGGTAGGAAAAGGAAGATCTCTTTATCTTGGCAAGTAAAATTAAGGAACATTCATCAGTCCCTGAGCCCCGAGACAAAGGTGTGTTCTGGCAGCAGGGCAGATCCTTTCTCTGGTCAAAACATGAGCTCATCAGGCTGAGAGACCCTGTGATGCTGCAAAGACACAGCCACAACAGACCTCTTCTTTTCCTCTCATAATATTCCCATTTTCCTTTCTTGAACCTGCAGACAACTCACCCTCTTCCTCCCCAGCATGTTTTACAGATGGATATAACCATATTTAGCAGGAAAAGCAGCATCCAGCCCTTGCACGATGCCAAAATGTCATTGCCTTGCCCTCATCTTATAGTTAGAAATGTGATTTCTAAGAAGTTTCACTGCAGAAGCTTTGCTGGCCAGCTGAGATGGGATATTTCTGCATTGTGGAGTAATTTCTTAGTTATTTTACCACTTTACAGAAAAAGCCAGGTTGGACAAGGCTTGGAGGTGGAAGGTGTCTCTGCTCATGGCAGGGATGGAACAGGATGGGCTTTAAGTTCCCTTCCAACCCAAACCTTCCTGGGATTCTACAATCCTCAAAATTTCCCCTTTTTCCCCTCAGGATAAAGCAATTTAAGAGAATAAAGCCCTGTTATATCAACCCCCTGCAGTAAATAAATGCAGGGCACAGATCCCTCAAGGTCCCAAACATGGATTTTGTCCAGACCCATGGACAGACTGGCCCAGCACCCAAAGGAATCCAGCCAGCCCCTCCAACCAGGTCACCTTGCCAGGGTGAAATTGGTGTTTGTGCTGCTGTGCTGGCACCTTCTTGGAGCAAGGCAAGGCAAAAAAAAGCCCATAATTTCTGGACAATGGGAGGAGAAAGTTCAGCTCTCCCATTTCAGCAAAGGGAGCGAAGAGGATCCAGCCCAAGGGGATGAGGATGGGGTGACAGGAGGGCTCCACGTGGCTCAGAGGAGCTGAGGAAAGGCAACAAGGAGCCAAAAAGCCAAGGAATGGCCGAGGAACCACTGGAAATTGTGTCAGGGAAAGCGAAGAAAGGCAGCTTGTTGGGCAGGCTGCTGACTGGGAACCTTTTGGAACTGTGAGCAAATAAACCCAGGCCTGTTGTTGGAGTCCCCAGTGGCTTAGGGAAACAGGAGTCCCTTATTTTTTATGGGGTTTTTTTCCTTTTTTTTTTTTTTTTTTTTTTTTTTTTTTTTTTTTTTTTCCTTAGCCGCACTTTGTAATGAACCAGAGCTACATCAAGGACACGGCAACCTCTACCGCAAACATTATTCCTGGGTGAAAACAACCTGGTCAGACAGGGTAACTTTGCTTTTCAGCACTTCATCAGCTTTTCTTTGCATCTAAATCTTCTCTATTGAAGCCAGCACTGCCATTATCCAGCAATCCCTGGGGCTCCAAACAAGCAGCATTCCAGCACCAAAGGCCGGGCAAAAAGCCGCTCTTACAAGTGTTAAATAATGCAAACTTCGCCGAGAAGTTTGGGGTGAATCCCATCGTTTCCTGGCTGCGGCCCAGCCCCTCTGGGGGCTGCTGGGGATGGGGAAAGGCAGAGCACGCCAAGGGTTAAAGGGTGATGTAAATGGAGAGAGACATTCTCAGTGCAAACAAAAGGAGAGTCATGCCCCGAGGATCAGTGGCTGAATATGGGGTAAGGCAGTTCGCGAATCTCTTCTGAAGGAAACATTTTAATTAGCTCAATCCAAAACAGATACAGCCCAGAGAAGGCACCACGAGCAGGAAATGCTTTGTAAGTCTCAGAGGACGGTGAGGAGACAACGGCGGTGCTGAGCAATTAAAACAGAGAAAAAAAAAAAAAAAAAAAGGGAAGAGAAAAGGAGAGCGCCTTTAGGGTTCGGGCTGAGAGGCTCAGGTTTCCTTCCCTGCTCCATCCTGGAGAAGAATTAAATGGGGTCCTGCTGCATTCGTGCACAAGAGAAAGGAGCTGATGAGCTCGGAGGGCTGTGAGGGTCCCCAGGAGCCAAGGCCAGCTCGGAGCAGGGACAGCAGCGCCCGGTGGCTCCCACCCCATCCCTGCGCTCACTCCCGGCTCTGAGACAGGCCATGCCTCCCCAGGCGACCCCACGTTTCGGGTTTTTCTCTGAAAAACCAGCTGCTGAAACCTGACTGAAGCGAGCCGCTCCCAAACCCAGCTTCCCACAGGTACAGGAGCCGCAGCAAGGGCTGGGGACTGTCAGGTCCGGTGACACTGAGCACAATAAGTGTCAAAGCCATGAATAAGAGCCTTCCTGCCCTGTTTTTTAGGCTAATCACCCGCAAACGTCCCCATTCCCCGGGCAAGAATGGCCCTTTGAAGCTCCACAAACCTCCATGGACTTCAAAGTCCCACTTGTGTCTGCTCTTTCCCCACTGTTCTCCAGTACATCACTTAGGATTAGGAAATGAAAGAGATTAAAGCGTTTCTCCTTCCCAGCGCTTCGGATCGTCAATGGAGCTTTGTTTACGGGCAGCTGCTCCGCTTCCCACCCTCTAATCCCGGCCTTCCCTCGCTCCTGCTGCACCGGGGAAGAAAACTGGGAATCTGCCAGGAGCTCCGGGGAGGATGGAGCACTCACAGCCACTCAGCGAGCTAAGCCCAACCCCAAAATTGGTGTCCCGAGCTATTTCCCATCCCTACACCTTCCTCTGGAGGAGTCAGATCCAGCATCACCTGCTCCAGCTTTCCATAAACCCTCACTGCTGGCGCTGGGAAAGCAGAGGCAGCATCGCTGTGCAGCATCAGCTCCTGCCCTGGCAGCCTCCAGCAGGGAAAAATCAGCCACCAGATTGCCCCAGACCGGAGGTTTGTCCTTAAAGCTGCTGCCAGTTCACACTCTCAGAGCTCTCCCTGAACAAAACCAACTTTTACTGAGAAAAGAAGGTAGAAGTTAAGTGGAAATTCCACCGCAGGAACTGAGATGTTCAGTTTTTCAGATAGAAGAAGGTTTTGTTTTTTTAAAAAACATATAACAGTTTTGATTTTATCTATTCAAACAATTGCAGTTTAATCTTATTTTATCTATAGTCACCAGTCTGAAAGAACCCAAGTCCTACAGGCTTACACAGAATTATCATCTCTGCAAAAATCTGCCAAAACCCCAAACATGTCCCCACAAAAACCCCCTTATTTGTACCTTCTGCCTAATTAAAGTGGAACAAAGGAAGGAAATAAATGCCAAGAAGCTGCGGAGCTGAGTTTGTTGTAAAGCTGTAACCCTGGGCTCCGTGGTGGGAGTAAGTTACACATCCCATAGGCGTTGTAGCAACGGGGTGAGGAGCAGGGAGCTGCAAACCCTGGAGTGAATGGAATTCTTGTCAGGAGAAGGCAGAAATAAAGCTCTTGCTGTGCCCCAGGAAAATCCCGATTTATTTCCATGCCGGGGGCTGAGACCCTATCAAAACACAAGGAGTGGTGCCATGACCTGGGATAAAACCCAGAGAAACCTCCCCAAACCCCACTGTCCTGCAGGTTTTGCCTTCTCTACCTATAAACCTTTGTTTCTCAAGATTTAAGAGATAACCTGAGTACACACCATGACAATCCAGCAAAGATCCTTCAGCTCTGGAAGGTTTTCCCATCAGGGCTGTGCCAGACTCCCCAAACCCAGAGTTCAGATGAACACACAGGGCGTCCTTCACGTCCAGACCGATAAAGTTCCACTCATCTGACATCTCACATGACTAAAAGAAAATGTGATGATGCCAAAAATGCCAGCCCCAAACTTCACGCTGGTGTTTTTCTGACCTCAGCTTGCTGCACATGTGGAGAACAGGATCAGTGTGGAGGAGGAAGAATGGGATAATGGAATGACAGGGGCTGATTTTAAATTTGTTTTTTCCCCTGCAGTAATTCCTGTTCTAACAAACAGCTCCTCTGGATGGAGCTGCAGTCTGGCAGTTTGGAGGTGTCTTGGGGTGCTGGGAGGAGGAAATACAGGAATTGTAAACAGGATACTCAGGCACCATAGGAAGTAACACCAAGTTTTCCTCTCTTTTCAGTCCATGGAGGATGGGATATTTGTACTATAAAAGAGCAAAGCCTGGAGCTACTCTACTGAATCTCTCTCTGAATTACAGGGTTTTGTGAGGGATGGCTGCTGGAGGTTTGCTGATACCATCCCTGCTAGGAGAGAGAATGTTCTGAATTTTATCACACTAAACAGGAGGTTTATTCCATTACATTCCTCTCCTCCTGGACTGGCCCCCTGTTGAAATATAGGATTTAAAGCTTTGCCCTGCCTGAAATATAAAAAACCCCCACTACTTTTGTCATCCCGTATTTACTAGTTTTTAAAAAATATATTGCTTTATTTTTTCCCAGCAAGGCAACAACAGTGGTGACTGAGGTGTCCATGAAGAGCATCTCACTGCTTTAATCCATAGTGGAAAGGAAGGAAAGAGAATTTTACACTTGGAAAACTCAATCTGTGGACTCGTCCTACAGAATTTAAAGCACATGGCTGGGTTTCAAAGCCACTTGTCAGCTTGTTTAAACACCTCAGGGTTCCATAGGTAAACAAGGCAGGCTGTATTTTAAAGCCCATAAGTTAACTAGACAATTGCTGGCAGGCAATTCCCAGAGATTACACACTGGAAAAAACGGGATTTGACCTTGGGGCTGTCTGGAGCAGAGCAGGGAGAAAAGAGTCAGGTGATGGAGCATCCTTTTTCCTGTGTGAGGAATATCTGGGCCAGGCTGCTGGCAGCACTTGGTCAGGAGCAAAGGTGAGAGTTCCAAAGGCACCTTGCAAACCTGGCTCTTGAGGAACTGCCAAAATCCAGGCCAGGTTGGAAAGTGGGGTTTCCGCTGGGCTCCCGGGCTGAGTGAGGTTCCCAAGGACACCCAACCCCTCTGAGATCTCCCCAGCAGGACCCAGAGTGGACCCTGGACCAGGAGAGTGTGGGACACTTGGGGTTCACCCACCCAGGGAGTCACATTCCAGCATGAACACAAACTCCTGATGGGATAACAGGGAGGGTCTGCACTGGGAGGGAGCTCCAAGCCAAGGACTGACTGCTTTAGGCTGAAGGTTAAGCCAAAGCTCAGCTATTCCTGTTGGAGTTCATGTGAGCTTTCCAATCCAACTTTGCTCTTGTTTAAAGGCATTTGGACTTTCAGGCAAGACCTTTCCTTTTTTTTTTTTCTTTTTACCACAGATCCAGAGAAAGTGAGTTCAATTCCACATTTAAGATTTTGCTCCTGTTCTTCCCATAAATTTAAATATTTGATTTTGGTTTTTTAGCTTGTTTCTCAATAAAGCTCATTTACCCATGAATTTTGGAGGAAAAACCTTCTCCACAGGAGAGACCTCCGAGTTCCAGTTCATCTTTTTGGATGTCCAAAGGATGAAGTCATCTGGGAAGGCAGATCTTGGCATCCTCCTTTCTCACTATGCCAGGTGCAAACGTGAGGTGCTGCCTGCTCCCAGGGTCACAGCACCAGATCTTGGGAATCCTGTGGTTCTCCAGGCATTCCCAGGTGAGGAATTTGCCCCTTCCACCCAGCAAAGCCGTGGCTATCCCAGCTTTCCCAACACTTGCCATTTTACCAGCAAGGCTGTCAGCTTGCATGCGAGAACTCCCAGGATGAAAACCTACGGAAAACATCTGATTTTGATCATTTGCATCCCAAATTGTCTCGAAAACATGATTTGTTTTCCATTTTATTTGTTTATATGTTGCCATTGCAACCTTTAACACAACTCAGTGACAGGTTTGGAGCTGAAACTCCTCTGTCAGGAGTTCACTCTGGAAAGGATCCCACTCTGCACAAGGGTTTCGCCTCCAAACTACTCCCAGTTGTAGCTTCTAAATTTCTTAGATTACGAGGAGATTCCAAACTAGTCCTTATTTGGTTGGCTGGAGTTTGTAAGGAAAAGGTCTTTCCCTTCGTGACCCAACTTTGCTCCCCATTTCCAAGAAGTGCTGAGCTCATGATCCAGCTCACAAACCCTCCTTGCTCCAGAGGGACTTTCCTCGAGGAGACTTTCCAAGGGATTATTCTCACAGGCATTAAAAATACTTGAAATAGCCAGGAGAGATGATCCAGGGAGTTCAGGAAGCACCTACGTCCAAGTAAAAACATGCTAACTTCACGTGTCTCCAAAGCTTGTTGAGTTGGGACAAAGTGTTATAAGAGCGTAGTCCATAACATTTCCCAAACTTCACATTCCAAACCTCGACAAAGAGTAGGAATGAAAAGCAGCTGTTGGTACAGCTTAGAGAAATTTTTCTTGGGAAAGTTTTACACTTGCAAAAAAATTCCTTTTGGAAGTAATACCATATTTGCAGACGTGTTTAAGCAGGGAAAAAAAAAGGAAACATGGCTTTGGGAAGTGTTTTTGGTAAATATTTCTGAACTACAACAGTTTTCCACTTTGGAAAACATGTGTATGGATGTTCCTATTTTCATTTAGGAAAAAAGGCAAAGCAGCTCTTCTTTATCATAGATTTTGGTAGGTTTTTAAAATATTTTTGCATCAAAAAGGTTGAAAATCCAACCTGCCATTGTGCACAGTTTAAGCAAACACTACAACTTTCTGCTTTTCTCCTCCTTTACAGGTTTAGGGCAAAATTTCAGATGTTTAATCCTGTTAAATTTCTTTTCAAACATAATGGGCCAATTACATCTCAGATTCTAAAGAAAAACCTTTCCAAGGGGAATGTTTGAATTATCACAGAACTGTTTGCGTTGGAAAGGACCTTAACGCCCTTCTTGTTCCAACCCCTGCCATGGACAGGGACACCTTCCATAGACCTGGCTGCTCAGAACAATCACTTTCCTTCAAACAGGAGGATGAGGGAGGGATGGAAGGAAAGAAAAGACCAGATTCAGTAAATTCCGTCTCCAATTGGGAAAAAAAACCCAATAATAGTGGAATTTATAAAGACTCGCTTGAAAACTAATTCCTGCTTTTGTTTGCACATCCATTAATTTGGGAATTTCTCTTGCACAACCACTTTGGTTCAAGACTGATGGCAGTTCTCTCTCACTGTCTCCTTTAGGATGAAAGGATCCATGAGGGAGATGTGGTAGGAAGGAGTCCAGCCACCTCCTTGGAATGTGTTCCTTTGGGAAGGGACGAGCTCCCTGCCTTATTTTATGGATGTCACTGAAGTAGACTTTGAAGACCTTTGGAAGCCCATCCCAGCCTTGGCATGGGAAACCACAGCAACAACCATACCTGCCTGACAGATGATTCCTTCAAGTACAACCTGTACGGAGCCGTGTACAGCGTGGTCTTCATCCTTGGCTTGATCACAAACTGCGCCTCCCTCTTCGTTTTCCTCTTCCGGATGAAGATGCGGAGCGAGACGGCCATTTTCATGACCAACCTGGCGGTTTCAGACTTGCTTTTTGTGTTCACTTTGCCCTTCAAGATTTTTTACAACTTCAACAGGCACTGGCCCTTCGGGGACAGCCTGTGCAAGATCTCAGGCACGGCGTTCCTCACCAACATCTACGGGAGCATGTTGTTCCTCACCTGCATCAGCGTGGATCGCTTCCTGGCCATCGTGTATCCCTTCCGCTCCCGCACCATCCGCACCCGGAGGAATTCCGCCATCGTTTGCGCCGGCGTTTGGATCCTGGTCCTCAGCGGCGGAATTTCGGCCTCGCTGTTCTCCACGACCAATGTGTCCAACACCAGCACCACCTGTTTTGAAGGGTTCTCCAAAAGGATCTGGAAAACCTACCTGTCCAAGATCACCATATTTATTGAGGTGGTGGGATTCATCATCCCTCTGCTGCTCAACCTCACGTGCTCCTCGCTGGTTCTCCGGACTTTACGGAAGCCGGCCACCCTGTCCCAGATTGGGACGAACAAGGAGAAAGTGCTGAAGATGATCATCGTGCACGTGGCCATTTTTGTCGTGTGCTTTGTCCCCTACAACTCCATCCTGTTCCTGTACGCGCTCGTGCGCTCCCAGGCCATCGCCAACTGCTCCCTGGAGAGGTTTGCCAGGACCATGTATCCCATCACGTTGTGCATCGCCACCCTCAACTGCTGCTTTGACCCTTTCATCTACTACTTCACCTCTGAGTCCTTCCAGAAGTCCTTCAACATCAAAACCCAGATCAAAATGGATTCTCTTTTCAAGACAGAGATGCCGCTCACAAAGACGGCACTGCCGGCGCCGCAGGATGAGATCAGTGACCAGGCCATCACCAACGGAGGAGATCCCACATCTGAATCCCATTTCTAGGGAGATGTTTACACAGGGAGTCACCCCCCATTAACTCCTGATTAACACCACGTGGCAAAGAGCAGCTCCAGAAAATGGGGGTTCACACGTGGGGTTAATGAAGAAAAGCTGCTGGGGGACGACGGATCCTCGCACTGGGATGGTCCCGTCATGTTCCACAGGTGAACACAAAGTATGAAAATCCCAGTGGATCTCCCTTTGGAGATTATGGATAGGCTACAACACATGCATCAACTCAGGAGGGAACAGAACAGCTTCTTTAACCGGAAGATGCCAACATTTGGCATTTTTCCCCCTCAGCAGTTGACATGGGACCAGTTGGGAAATAGAAAATTTCATTTTTTTAGAGATTACTGCCAATATTTCTGCCTTCTGCAGGTGCATCCTCATCCTCATATGTTAACTCAGTAACTTCCCACAATATGTATGTTTGCTTACAAAGGCATAATAAAAGCTTGTGGCTTTTCCTTACTCCACTGCCAGAGTGCAGAGCCTGGTTTTCCTAGAGACTGGAATTTATGGAGAGCTTTGAAGTGTAAATAATTTTTTAGCAATTAGGCAAAAGAGTTGCTTGGTGACAGAAAAGATAATAAGAAAAAAAGATAATTGTTACAGTTTTGAAAGATGAAGTTTCATTTTTATCAGATTAAGCTGTCATTTAATTTATTTGATTACTTTTAATGCCACATCTGGGGAGGAGTAAAGAGCTCATTAATGATCTGTTGCACCTGGGCTTTTATATCCCAGGGGATTAAATGACTATTTCTGGGAAGGGCTGGGCTGTAAAGTCAGCTGGAGAAGGGCCTGAAACTCCAGAGTTCTTCCAAGGGCAAAGCTCCCATCCAGAAGCTGAGGCAGCTGAAGCCCAGGAGTGCTGACCCCACTGAAATATGGACAAGTGGTGTCACAGCACCCAACTGAGGGAGGATCTGTGATTGCTTAATGGATTTTTAGGGCCTCAAGGTAACTCAAAAACCAATTTGCTGCACTCTTTTCTTAGCTGGTTACAGCAATATTGTCTTGTTTTCCAATTAATTTATTACCTTTCTTTTTATAGATTACAGAAATATATGGAAAATTAATTATTTGTATGTGTTGCATTTTACCACCTGGTTCCTTTCTCCAGCTCTTGGCTCGTGTTTGAAGCTTTACAGCCCTTCCCAGGCTGGTTCATTCTTAAGTGTAAGACACAGAAATGAGGAGAACAATTTCATTTGAAAAAAATATAAAGTTACAACTTGTTAGCTACATTACCATGGCAAAGCTACTTCTAGGGAATTATTGCCAAAAAAAGAGACAAATTATTAATTGAGCAGATGTTTTCCACTCAACTCTATTTTAAGTCTGTCTGATGAAGCCTCATGAGATATCAGAGCAGGACCTCAAATGTGATCATTTAAAGCAACAGAGGTTTAAGTGTGAGAAGAATTCAGCTGTAAAATGTTAATGCTTCCAAGGGAATATTTATTTAGCACTGCATTCACTTTGAATAAAGAAGTCAGTGGCTAACCAAGGTTGAGAGACCCCAAAAATGATTCTATTTCAGCCCTAAAATGTCACTTACTGGAGAAAAGCATATGATCAACTCATTATACACAGAGAACATGAGAGCAGCCAAAATACTCTATTTCAGCTCTGAGTTACAGCAACATTTACTGGAAACTTGCACACAGGACTGGCTTGGGAGGCTTTTCTGGAGATTAAATCCACAGACAATTGCACTTTGGAGCAGAAGAATGTGAAAACAGGGAGAGTTCATTGAAAAAAGTTGGTGGAATGAGGTCAGTGTGGCAGGACAAGGGATAGGCTATGGCAGGGAATTTGTCAGCAGCTGGGAAAGGTTCACCTCCAGCCCAGGGGATGAGCTGGGCTTTAGGAAGCAGCAGTATTTGCCATTTAACCAGTGCCTTATCCCTTTTCCTGCCTGTGCCCCTTTTCCTACTGCATCCAAACTCTCCACAGGGAATTTTAAAATCCATATTTCCTTTGGCTGTTCAGCCCATCTCAACCCTTGCCATGAAATGAGTACATTTCAGAGAAGCTGTTCCCTTCGGATCAAAAAGGCAAAGAGGGATTTGCCAGGCTTCCCTACAGGCAGGTTCTCCCTAAGGAGCAAATCCTTCACCCCATGGCAGAGAGGAGGGTTGGGAACCATCAGCAGCTCTGACACACCCCAAACTCTGTGAGAAATGGAGCACCCCATCCCAAACCCTGCCAGGAACTGGACTTAATGAGACACAAGCTGCATTTTTTAGGGATGAGAGAGGGAAGCAAAAAGAGCAAGAAGAATTCATTAACAAACTTAATTTCTAGGGGTGGGAGAGAGAAGGAACGAGAATGAGAAGGATTCACTAAAAAACTGAGGGTGCGTTTAGAACCACAGAACATCCCAAGCTGGAAGTGACCCACGAGGATCATGGAAATCCAACTCCTGGCCCTGCACAGGACAGCCCCAGGAATCCCACCCTGTGCCTAAAAACATCTTCCTCCTTGCAAGAAAATTATTTGGAACATAAGAAAATGCTCTTCTCTGAGGCAAAGCCCTGCTTAATTCAGATTTACAGAGATGAGAAACCTGTTTACACTCAGCTTGCTCTCAGCAGGCAACATCAACTGCCAGCTTGGAAATCTTAATTTAAAGCTGCTGCTTTACACTTGCAAAGCAAGAAGATTCCAGAGGTTGTGGGGTTTGGGAGCTTTGTGGGACAGGGCTGTTCTCATGCCCGGTGGCTGCAGAATCTCTCATTTCCAGAGTCCTGAGGTGCCTTCTGCTCTGGGTGTGCTCCACAGGCCTTCCTCTGGTAAAATCCAAGGGAAGAAAGAAAAATCCAGGCTAGAAACCACTGTCTGGGCTTCTGAAGGAAATGGTGGAAGAGAGGAGGGAAAGAACTGCCTGGGACTGGCCAAGCTCCAGGCCCCACATCCATGGCCTGCCTGTAATCCCAGCATAATGGGTGTCTTTTTGGAAGCCAAACCAGTGCCAATGCTTACAAATTTCTGTTTGCAGTTTTATGGGGCAAGAGCTGTGGTGGATACTCTCACATAAAATGTAATCCTATCATCCTGTGCCAAAATGCCAACTGAAAAGATCCATTATTTTGTAATTTAAGACCTCATAAATTATATGGAGATCACATAATGACTGACACTCACATCTGCTGGGACAGGTCTTGACTAATCTGGTTTTTTCTAGGTCAGGTACACCGAGTACACACTCCATGGTTTGTGGATAAATAACCAATTATGCATTGAGAGAGAGGAAAAGTCATTTTTCAGATGACAGCAAAGCCAGGCTGGGAGGAGAGGGTGGCAGAAAAGTGGATTCCCAGCTTTTCTGGCTGAGGGGCAGCTGAGTGTTCCTCCCCCTGACAAAGGGCTGCTGTCAGCAAAGACAACACCACAACTTCAAGTTTAAAAACAAAATCAAATTAATTAAAAGTCACTGCCTTTAGCTGAGGCTGAGACAGGACCCAGAGATCCTAAACAAACTTTAATCATGGATTTCCTTGCTCCCAGCCAGCTCCCCGTTCCCGTTCCCCAGTCCTCCCACAACATTCATTCACCAGCTTTGCAACCCATGGCCCAGCTGGAGGAGCTGCAGCTCCAAAAGGCTCCTGGGCCCTCTGCCCAGCCCAAACCCACCCTGGAATTCCCACACCTGTGAAATTCTGTGCCAATCCACAGGGGGAAGCAGGGCTTTGTTCTCCAGTCCCAGGGAAGCTCCTCTTGGTGCCACCACAGCACCTACAATGGGTGAAAGGTGCCAGGTCTTGGGTAAATCTTGTGAAAATCTCCACTGGCTTTACAGAATCAGTGCAAACCACCCAGAGCCACATCTATGAACCACAAGGGCAAAGAGGCAGCACAAATCAGGTATAAAAGTCATGGATTAGCTCTTGGATGAGCCAGAGGGAGGGAAAGTCCCTGTGCTGCACATGCACATCAGCCAGCCAGGCTCTGCTCCTCCTATCCCTGCTCCCTGCATGGATCCAGCCTTGAAATCCCTCTAAAGCTAACCCTGGGAAGTTTTTTTGGTGGTTCTCCCTGAAGTTCTCCATGGATGAGGGAGGGAGGCTCCACTCCTCACCCAGCAAAAATAAATGGATGACCCAGAAGGAATTTCCCTGTGCCAGAGAGACACAGCACCTCTGACAGCCTCCTCAGGAGCTGTGGCCCTGCAGAGCTCCCCGTGACATTCCATGCCATTCCCAGTGGGATGGTTTGCTGTCCAGGCAGGAGATTGTCCTGTGAAAGTGTCCTTTGGGGCAACCACAAAGCTTTGCTGTGTCTACAGAGCTCTTGGGGCAGGGTTTGGGGACAGGAACAAAGCAGCCCTCACTTCACTAAGCAGGTTTTGGTGCTGAGCATTAACTGAAGAAAGAGGCAGAGTTGTTCTCCATGGATTAGCAGCCCAAGCCTTGTTTTTGCTGCAATTCCAGGAAAGCTGTAATTTTTATTTCTGAATGTTCCCCCAGGCTGACCCCAGAGCCCAGGCTGGTCTGAGCTGTGTGCACATCCTCTGACACTCCAAGGACCATAAATCACCCCTAGAATCATGGAATTAAGGTTGGAAAAACCTCCAAGATGATCAAGTCCAACCATCAACCTGGCCCTACCATGTTCACCACAAATGTCCCCAAGTGCCATATCCACACATTTTCTGAACACTTCCAGGGATGGACTCTCCACCACTTTGCTGTTTCAATGCTTGACAACCCTTTCTGTGAAAGAATTTTTCCTGATATCCAATCTAAACCTCCCCTGGCACAACTTGGGGACATTCCCTCTCATCCTGTTGTGACATTTGTACATAACTCCTGCACCTCCCTGAAATTCTGCACCATGGAGATGCCACTTGGAGAAAATCAGGTTTGTGGGAGGTTCAAGCAAGTGAGGAAGATCTACCCAGAACATCTTTGCTTCCCACAAGAGTGCTCAAAGCTCCTTTTCTCTGGGTACAGATTCCAACCATGGGAATATTCTCCCTTTCCTGTTTGCTCTGTCAGGACCTGGGTGTGTTTAAAGGCTCGTTACTCCCCGTGTGGAAGTGTCCAAGGCCAGGCTGGATGGGGCTTGGAGCAACCTGGGATAGTGGCAGGTGTCCCTGCCCATGGTCTTTAAGGCCAATTCCAACCCAAACCATTCCATGATTTAAGACAGTGATTTTAAGCCCTATAAAATGTTCACGTTTCACAACAAAACATGGAGCTGTTCCTGTTTTTTCCCTCTGGAAAACATCACTTCAAACTAACACTTTAACATCACTTAAAACTAACATTTAACACTGCTGGCTGTCCTTGATTTTAATTCTTAAATTTAATTTCCATACAAAACACCAGGACATTCACACCCCTAAATCACTGGGACAAGCAAGGAGTGGGGTGGTTTCTTTTTGTGATCACTTGGCATATGTTTTCCAAGAAAACTGTCCAGTTCCTAAGAAAACCCTGGGCTGGCTTTTCCCTGCCTGGGGGATTTGAGCAATGTAAATATTGTATAGAAGTGACCAACGCCCATGTTTTGCACTGTTTGCTCTTTTCTGTATCTCTGTGGATGTGTGTGGATAATGAAAAAGGAAAGTTTTTTTCTGCAAAAACAGAACGTGTGAGTGTTCTCATTTACCCTGACTTACATAAATACATAGTGTTAGCTGGAATAATATTTAAATTTCACTTTCTCTGTAGCCCTCTCAAATCCTGGGTACATCCAGCACACATGGAAATTTTCCTGGAAACCCTCAGCATGGAAACTGGTCTTTCCTTTTACGTGGTTTGTACAAATCCCCCCATTTCTTCCATCATTAACCCAAATCACCTCTGCAGTCATGGAATACTTTCTTGGAACTCATTCCTGAGATCACTTACCTGGCCACAACACACAGAAAAAAAAGAAAAAAAAAAAAACAAAAAAAACCAAAGCAGTTGCACTGAACCTATTTTAATTTATATTTCCCCAAGTTCTCATCTTTCCTGCACAGGATGACACACTGTTAGCAGAATAAAATTAACCTTAAAAATATCTTTTGACCACTGGAAGGGCTGTGCTGCTTCCAAAGCTGGCCTTTTGTGTTATCCCTGGAAGTGCCATGGAATAAAAGCCCTCTCAGCACCAGGGAGGGTTGAAATCTCACTCAGGGAGTCTGAGAACCTCATGGATGACACCGAATTAGCAGCTGATTCCCAGGGGAGGTGTTATTTTATGTCCTAAATCAATATTAGCTGCATTAGAGAGCTGAGGAGAGTGCTGTGAAAGAGGTGTCTCAGATCTCCTGCTGCACAGATAAAGAGTCTTGGGAGATCATTTACAAATTTTACATAGGTCACACAAAGAAAAAAAATAACCTGTTTTAGTGGCACTGTGGCACTATTAACATGATGAATTCTGGCTGCTCTGTAACTGCCCATTACACACTGAAAGCTTGGACTAAAGAAAACTCCCCAAAATAATTCCTGGGATAAGCCCAGGCCATAACCCATCAGGGCCAGGTGTTGACTGTGCAGCTCCAGGGATATTCTATTATTTATAACATGATCAGCACCACTCAGAGCTCCAGGTCACAGTGGAGCTGAGATTTGCTCACACAACTGTGGAGCCATCAGAACCCAAATTTCCAGCACATGACCAAAAAGTCCTCTTAAAACCTGGATTAAGCCTGGCCTGGAACTACTGGACAGGCCCAGGAAGGGATTTGAGACCTCGCCTCATTTTCAGCTTTGGGCAGGAAAAAGGTTCAGGTTTATTAAAGGACAAATTTCAGTCCTAGAGTCCAACAATCACATCCTGGAATACCTGGAGGAGGAATTTTCTCTTTCTGGCTCGGGGGTGCTGTTTTCCCCCTGGCACGGGGACAGCTGGAGGCCACAGACAGGGGCCCAGAGGATCCCACTGAAATTCCTGCACTCACCTCCAGATTTTGCATTGCAAATGATTTCATTTGAAAAGCTCCTTCCCTCAGGGTTACTCAGGAGAATAATTTGGCATTTTCCAGCCCCATTCCCACTTGTGAGAGATGACACAGATGATGGAAACATCCTGATCCAAGGGAAAGGAGAATACTGGGGAAATTTGTCATAATTTAGGCATAAAAGTGACTTTTTGGCAGTTCAGATTCCTGTCTTTTTCCATCTATTACCTCATCATTCCAAACTGGCACAGCAGTGAGGGATCACAGACAGGATTGAGGATGGGGAGACACCTGTAAAACACTGTCCTGCCACAGCGACTCCTTCCCAAATATTTATCCTCCAATTCCCCCTTTAAACACAACTCCTTCATTGATACTTTCTAAATCCAGGGCTCACAGGACATCTGTCCTTCTGTTTTTTGAGGGGAGGACAATGACATTGATTTGGGAGGCTGCCTCATCTTCTCCTCTCCGTATTGCCTTGAGCTGTACAACACCTGCTTGCGAGGGCACATTGTCCCCCAGATCCCTGCAAAATAAATTAAAATGAAACAGAATTCTAATTTCCACCACCTCCCCCAGAATTAGGGTTTTTTTTATATCCTGGATCTATTAACCAGGTTCCTGGGAACAGCTTTATCCCATCCATCCCTGTGCTGGCACAGAGAAGGTGCCCATGGAGGGAGGACAAAGAGAACTTCTAAGCCAATTTTGCAGCCTCACAGAGCCCTTCTCCAGGACAAACACCAGGGGGGTGCTGAAGTTGGACTTTTATTTCCACATTAAGTCCTAAATACAACTCCTGAACATTGAAACTGCCTGGCTGACACCACCAGCCCTTCAAAGCCACCTCATCCTTGGAGACCCGTGGTTTAAATCAGAGTTAAAGGGTGATTCCCACATGATTTTACCCCTTTCTCCCATTTTTGTTTCATCAGCTGAACCTGTTTGGGTTTGCACTCCAGCTCTCACAACAGCAGAGTCTTTCCACTAATAGAGCACTGTGCCCTTGGGAAAGAAATGAAAAATACTGCTAAAAACATCCTTTGGTTATTGGGAGCCAGCAGCTGAGGCGGGACAGTTATCTCTGG